AATAATGATATATAATGAACCACTGAATCTGATGCAGGTGTCAGGAGGTTGCAAGTGGCATTAAATAGGAAAAAAAGGAAAATGAGAAAGTGGTTGTGCCCAGACAAGCTGTATAGAAAACTGTTCTTAAAAGAAAACTCAGCATTTTGATTCCCATTGTAAGAAATAGACCCCAATCTTGACTTGACTACCAGAGGGTCTAATAATACTAATGCAAGTTTTTATTTTAAAGGTACACAGGGATGAGAGTCAGTGGTCTGTATGGTTTGTCCCGTTCCTGTTTTCCATTGGAGAGAATGATTCAAGTTTGATTTCCCAACTTTAGGGTTAGATCTAGTTAGTATTAAATGTGTCCTATTAGAGGTGTTTCTTGCCATGCCACCTACACTGCTAGGCTTATCAAGAGAGTTCTTTAACAGAGCATACAACTTTGGTTGCACTGCTTTCTCAGTTCAATATGAATGACAGAATTAAGATATTAATCAAATGGACACTGAATAATTGGATCATTATAAGATGACTTCCTGCTACTGAGTGTTAGGTTAAACCTTCTGAGAACCACATAGGGCTTTTTTTGTCCCCAAACTTAATTTGAAAAAGATTAAGGGATTATTTCAAATAGGATCAAGTGATGAGTTGATTGAATTTAATTTAATTCTAAGCACTACAAAGTATATTGATGTAGTGAAACACTGGACTTTTCTGAGAGTTAAAAGGTGACACAATTTGCAGATAAAACGTTTCAAGTAAGCAAGGAAGCATATAAGGCAACTCTTTTTAAGGGCAAGCTGGAATAGAGAGTCAAGGTCATAAATCAAAGCACTGAATAACTGGTTAGACATTAAAAGCTCTAAGAGACACAAATTTCCTTTTTCCTATTTCTAAGACAACAGAGCTGAACACAGCCACCCTTTTGATTTATTTCTTTTGTACAGCAGATTTATGAGTCATTTGAAGGACAGTATTATAAGCTGGGGTGGTAGCAGTTCCAGTTATTCAAGTTACCTGATACTTTCCAAAATAAAATTCTATTTTCAGTTGCTTATAAATTGGGAAAACTTCAACCTTTCAGTCTGAAGTTTCCACAAGTAAAATGTCTGCCTCAGGCTGAACACATCAGGAAGAATTCAGCAAAAACAGTTCAGCTGTTTCCAAGAACGTTTAGGGAAGGTCCATTGTACTGCTTTGAACAAAGTTAGTTTACATAGACTTTGATAAGGGGTGAACTTTAAGTCAACAATATCTCTTTTGTCACACCCATGAAAATCTATCCAAATCTGGCTAAGCAATAAGACTTGAGAAAAATCACAGCTCTCGTGTTCCCTGGGAACTTCTTTGATGTTAGCTGCTACAGTCTCTGAAAATCATGAACATGGCTCAAGGTTCCAGATCTTCTGATGAGATTATACATGCACCATCTCTACAGAGTAACTGAGCACATCCCAGCTCAGTGATAAAGGGACAAGGCTGGACCTTCCCACTAACCATTCATCCCAGGTGTCCTACACTGTGGGGTAGCTAGATAGCAGAACCATAAACTCTCTTGGTTCTGCTATCTATTTGTCCTGAACTCTCAATAACCCCCTTTACTGGGAAGGATGAAGGAAGAAACTTTCTAACAAAAAGATAAAAGCCAAAGCAGGGTAGAGGAAAATGTGCAGAATGAGGAAAGGAATCCGATGATGAGACTGAAAGGGAAAAGGGAGGAAACTGAGTTTAGGATTTGCTAGGAGGAGGGATTAGATCTGAGATCTTAAGGGGAAACTGAGATGGGGGATTAATGAAGGAAAGACTGGGAGCCAGCTGAGTGGTGGTGGGGCACTGAGATTGGAGGGGACTGGGGATTAGACTCATTAGATGAAGAGCTGAAAGGAAAAACTGGGACTGACTGGGCAAGGATACTGGACTGGGAGTGGGGGAGGCAGGGGGTGCAGATTGGGCCTCAGACAATGAGCCAATTAAGGGAAACTAGGACTGGCTGGACATTGGGACTAGCATGAAAAGCTCAAGCAATGGAGACTGAGAAAGGGTCAGCATGGAAAATGGGGCTGAGAAAGAGCCAGATGTGGGAAAGATATAGATTTGGGATGGGCTGGACGGACAGAAAAATCTGTTCCTGCTAAAGCACATTCCCAGTTCCAGAGCCTGAAATGGAATAAGTGATTCCTTAGAAGGCAAGATAGAGATGCACCTTATAGACTAACTCAGTGGCTCCCAACCTTTTTTTATTACAACCCTAAATCCGGGTTGCGACCCCCGCCACCGACTCACTCATGCCCGGTGGCACCAGCAAAGCCTGTGCCGGGATCGCAGGGGGCAGCAGCAGTGAGAGCCACACAGACCACGTGCCAGAAGAGCCCCCCAAGCAGGATGGGCGAGGCAATGGGCAGACCCCTGCAACCCTGATTTGGGTCATGACCTGAGGTTGGGAACAACTGGACTAACTGAAACAGAGATGCATAAGCTTAAGATGCATAAAATCCCTTAGTCTCAGCATGCCTCTGCTGTCAGCAAACATCTATGAAATCTATTGGCCAGTGTTTTATTACCTTCTAACACCGGTGCACATAGAGGACAACCACCTACCGCTGTTGCATTTTACTCCTTTAACTCATGCTCAAGTTGCAGAGGTTTGTGTGCTGGATTCAACCCTGCTGATGAGTCACATAGGTGTCAATATTATGCCAGGATGGAATTTCTATGCTTTCAATTTGCTTTGTTAAATATCACAGATATCACACACAGGCTCAAACACATGTTTAAAATATTCTTTAGGTGGCAAAGTTAAGCACTCAAAAGTTAGGAAATGCCAGAATTAAGGTTATCTGTGCAGAAAATATTACGGTCACTTATGAAAGACTGCATAACAATACATAGGCAATATTCATTTGGCCGTGACTTAGGAGTATTCTTTTAACATAGGCTGTGTGTGTGATACACACACACACACACACACTCTCTCTCTCTCCCCCCAGAGACCGCCTGCCAGAAGAGCTTGTGTATTGAAGATGCCCCTCTGGCTTCTTTACTTTTCATTCCATCCAGGAAGAGCACACACCAACTGCTGTAACATACTTAGCCTGATGAAGGGTTTTGAACCCGAAAGCTTCCTTAATTTTTTTTTCCCCAACTACTTAAGTCGGTCTAATAAAAGATATCAGATTCACTCAAAGAACCCTCCAAAATGGAGACTTTTTTTAAAAACTTCTTAGAAACAACAGAGTTTTAACACTCAAATCTTTTTTCTGTCTCTCTATTTGTTTAAGGCGGTGAAATCTCAGTGTCTTCCACAGCACTCGCAACCCTTTCAGCATTTAACAAACACGAGATCGTGTGGAATGCAAAGGCCTTTCCTCACCGCACTGTAACCTTTGAGTCAGTTTCAGATTTAAGCTATTTTATCCCATACACCAACATCCTGCTTTGTCCAGGCAAGGTGACACTTACATGACTGCTATGCCCCAGTGTTCTCCTGCCTCCTGCCCTGCAGATTCAAAGAGAGGCAGCGCAACCAAGGTGATGGTTGGGGCAATTGTCAAAGGGCCAATGAACCGCATCAGAAATCCAATCAGGCCAGAAAATCCAACAAGGATTTGGAAACAAGAAGCTACCATGATGGCTCCCTGTACCTGAAAAGATGGATAGAGAGAATGAGGGGGGGGAGATTTAAAGGGTTTCCATTTGAGGTAGTGCATTCTACAGAAATTGGTTTAATAACAGTTCAGGAGCCAGAGCCAATTCCCAGTGAAGCAAAAAATGTGCGGGTCCTTCCACTGCCTTCTGAGAGTCATACTTGTGGAAAGGCAAGGCCACTCGCTCCCCATTTCACTTACTGGTATGCGTTTACCTGCTTTTCCAATATGCCAGCTACTTTGGGGTGTTTGATTGCAAGACAAAGGGCAAAAAACAAGCCAATCCATCAGCCCTTTGTAAAATATTCTGAGTACGTTTAGTGTATTTTAGCATTCACAAAAAAGGAAATAGTTATTAATTGCTAATTATTCCTACTGGCACTGACCAAGTGTCAGATGCTAGGTTGAGCTGCCCTGAGCCAACTAGTCCAGTGCCCCCCAGTCCTGAACTTCAGAAACTCCACTGTTCTAGCCCAAGGCTTTCGCACAACTTTTGCCAAAACACTTCATAAGGAACTAGAATGGATGACCACCCAACCTGATCATGCAAACTCTTATGAAAGTTGTGCTTATTACCCTAAGTGATGGCTCGCCAAGTGAGGCACTATGATTGTGGGAAAAGACAGTGCTGTTAGGACTCCCTGTGGATAAAGTCTTCAACTGAACATAGAAAGTTATTATTGTCTTCTAGTTGAATTTGCAAAGGGATGAAAGACCCTGAAAACCATTCCATCTCTCTGCATAAGGAGCAAATATATTCTCAGGCAGATTCTGAAAGGCTGAACACAGAACAATAAAAACTTTGACTACCAGAACCGGTAGAGAAACACCAGACAGGTTCAAATAGCCTTGAAGTCAACAGACAAGGAATCAGTAGACTAGGCAGCTTCAGCTCATGGGTTGTTATTTATGCTGAGGAGATTAGGCTAATGAGGGTGTGGGTAGCCAGGATTTTGTTTTATCTGAGTATCACTTCCCCACATGAGGTACACTCTTTCCATGTAGTCTGCATTCTTGGTAAATGCTATTTAAGTACATAATAATTTCACCCTCCTACCTATGATTACTTTCACCAGATAATCTCAACTAAATAGCAATGCAAAGATTAATTGCTTATGTACCGCTAGGTACTTCTGTGGATCTAGCTAGAACATAGCCCTTTATTTGCTACTCAGCAGAGGTCTCTTGCCTGATGTCTCCCCCCATACCACTTCAAGGGCCTTTGAATAGTCATTTCTCATGCTTTTGGAGCTACCCTTCTGGTGACATCAGGCGGGATTACCTCTCGCATCCGTGTCTGCCAGACCTCAGTGAACTCTGGTGAAGAAGCATTTACCAAGCTGGCATTCTGAGTCCAGGCAGGGCATTTCCAATGAGGAAGGGAGAGCATAGCAAGGGTTGGTGTCAAGAATGAAAATGTTCCTCCTTGAATAATAGGCAACCTGGAAAGAAACCAGAGAACTAGTGAAGTATTATGAACTTTGGCAGCTCCACCTCTGGCTTAGGAGAGAGAAGAAAGTCTTCACTCTATGGCAGCATGTGACACTGAGAGCATAGCAAAAAATAATTGGTAGGGTACTTGGATGAACTGGGTGGACTGGTAACCATCCTGGAATAACAGTAGAAATCCAGAATTCTCAGGAGAGAGGAGAAAGAAAGAGCTCTCTTTAAACTACACACTTACAATGAAGTCTTATTTCAGAGGATGGGGATTCAGCCTTCAACATATTTGCGTTTGGTAATTTTTTTGCAATATACTGATGTTTCCAAGAATCCTGCCATTGATAATGTCAAAGAACTGGTATGTATTTTTAGATAGGAGCAATGGGCATGAAACAAGATCTGAGATCCAAAACACCCTCACGCACTGTTGTTGTTCCAGATTCAATCTCCGGGTCCCTCACGATGCCTATTTGCTAAGCTTTGTTTTTTTTAAAGAAAATCAGTCATCTTAACATGCGTATATCTGTGCATCTATGTGCAAGCATGTAACTGTACAACAGATGAGATTTTAGTATCACAATAAAATAACAAGGGAAGGAAAAAGTGGAGAATGAGGGGATCAGAAAAAGGAAGGGGAACTGGCAGAACTAACATGCAAAGTAGGAAGGAGTTTGAAGTTCTGGTGAATGGTGAAAGGAAGGGGAAAGAGAGCCCAAGTCTGAAAAACAATTTGTTACCACATAAAATAGTAGACACTCCCCATGTGGTAGTGATGTGTTGTGGTGGGTTTCTGGTAAAAATTCTACCACTGTGTCAAAGACAACATTGGAATAGTTGCCTCTGATGGGGTCATCTTCTCTGGGCCCTGTTTGTCATACCTTGCGAAAGTACTTCCAAGGAGCACATTGCTGCACTGGAGAAGAGCCAGTCGTATTAAATAGTAGGCCTGTGCGAAGCAGCAAGTACTCCCTTCAGATTCAAATTTGGCTGATTCGGAGGGACAGTGATTCGATTCAATGGTTCAAATCACTGTCCCAAATCATTTCAGTTGATTCACATTAGGAGATTCGGTGCCAATTTGGAGATTCAGCTATAGACTATAAATGGGAAAATCACTAAAAGACCTATAATTTCATCATTATTTTGCAGATTTGGATGAAAACAGCCAGTATGGTAGCCCCTTCTGAGGGTATGAACCCTTCCAAGTTTCAAAGAGATAGGTGCAGGGGTTTCTGGGAAACTGCACCTCGAACTGTTGAAAGCAAAACTTGTATCACGTGTGCGTTAAGGCAGACTGGGATGAACGCAGCAGGGATGGTAGCCCCTCGTGCGGGCATGCCTGTCAGGAGAGCCCACCAATGCCCTAACTGATTACAATAGTGCCCTATGAGGGAGAAGTAGGCAAGCCATGATCTCCACCCTGGCTGCTCCAGATGTCTGAGGTGAATTGCAAGGCTACCTGTGGACCTGCCTTCTGCAGCTCCTCCCCTCAAGTACTCTCTGCATGCCTCATACACGGAAGGCACCACCATCCTACTGAAGGTGGTGCATGCAGGCATGTCATAGGATGGGGCCACAAGCGCCATGAGCCACCTGAACCCTGGCCACTCAACAAAGGAGAAGGGCTGGTCTTCCAGAGCAAGCATCTCCCCAATGCTCTGGGTGACCTCGCTCGCCTTGGGAATAGGCCCGCCACCCTTTGTCTCTAACCTTTCCTGCACTGGTCCAGGGTGGCCTCCCTCTGCTTCTTGGGGACGGGGGCTTTGGAACGAGAGGGGGACTTCTTTTTGGGCATGCTCCCACTGGTGCCAGGCTGAGGAGGAACAAAGGCAATGGGATACTGCCTCCTGAGATGCAGCAGCATTGCTGTAGTGTTGAAGTGCTTCACCTCCTTGCCCTGGCTGATCTGCCTTCAGCAGTGGTGGCAGGTAGCATACCTGGGATCATCTGCCACCTCAGAATGATCCCACACTACACTACCTCCCACTTCTGGGTTGAGGGTGGGGATCCTGCCTTATCCCCCTCCTCAGCAGGCAGAGGCACAACAACAGGAGAAGCTGAGCCACCTGCCCCCGAACCTCCTCTGAAGTGCTTTCCAGAGAAGGAGACCTGCCTCTAGGTGAGCTTGGAGGGGTGTGGAGCACAAACTCAGATTCCCCCTCCTTCCCCAGAATTTCCATCGCTATGGCACTCAGCTCCTCTGCTTCTAGATCCAGCTCCCGCTCTGACACTGGAAGGCTCATGCTACAAAATGAAATTGGGGTGAAGACAGTCATGCTGCTGCTGGTTAGTGGTGTTAATGGTGGTGGTGCAGGCACTGCTCCCACCTCCTTGCTCCCACTAGCAGAAGACAACTCCATCACTGCCAGGAAAGAGGGTGCCTCTATGTCTGGGGTGGGGGGGGCTTGCAGCTCTCCCTCTGCCCCCTCTCCCTCCCCTGCCAGAAGACCTGGCACCTGCCTTTCCAGCACACTTCTTAAGAGAGGAAGTGTGTGGTGTGTTTTCCTGTACAGTGATAACACACTGTCAGGGAAAACACAGATTTCTTTTTGTGGGGGAAAAGAATCAAGACAGACTAAAAAGAACAAATAAGAGGATTTTGGGGGAAGAATAAGTTGAAATGAACCAAAAGGGACAACAATAGGGATTGTAGGCCAGGGTAAGTAGGAAAGAACTGGATACAACTTACAAGAAGAGAGACTAGCTAGCAAGAAACTAGATAGCAAGCCAGAGCCTTTCAGACACTGCTGCTCCAAGAGAGAGACAGCTCACAAAATGCACAGATCACTTCACACACAGCTTTATATGTTGTTTCTATGTCCCTTCCCCAGAGCACTGTGATTGGAAGGGAACTCAGGGAAAGATCACAATCACTGCCACCTACAGATGTTAATATCAAACCAGACTTTCCCCAATCTCAGCCTTTTCCATATGTGGAAAAATCACCCCCCTCCCTCTTCTCAGTTTCTGTTTGCTGCAAGCCTTCTGAATCTCTCTGAATCAATTCAGAGGCTTCTGATTTGGTTTGGAGTCTCCCATTTCAATTCAGATTCAGAGATTTGGCTGCCAAATCAGGCTGAATCTCCTCCGAATTGAATCAGCTACCGAAGCTTCGCACAGCCTTACTGAATAGCATGGCTGAGAAGGGGGCTAATGTTGCCAGCTCTCACAGTTATCTTATTTTTTCTTTCAATTCCAGAAGATGAGCTTTAAAGACATTTCCTGCAAGAGAATCTTATCTTTAATTCAAAGAAAAACAATGACAGCAAGTGTCTAACTCCCACAGTTAAGAAAAGTTTTTAAATTAAAATGACTGCAACCAACAGATAAGTAAAACAACTTCTAATATTATATATATACACATACATATATATACATACACACACGTGGGTGTGCGCTTAGGTATACATATACATGTACATATCCGTGTGTACACACACGTGTATCATAGAATATAGAAAAGTTCTACATGCATGTATGTATGAATAGTTTAAATCTCCTGAGTTTTAGGAACTAAATCATGATTTCTGAATGCTTGATTATCAAAATTAGTTTTCCCAGAGAAAGGTGCTATTTGCCACATTCAAGAATCTTCTATAAGGTCTCCACTTCTATCTGATATATTATTCCTCAGCTTCTCAAACCTTCCTTTCTGCACTATTCAGACTCCTCTCTAGCCACCGTACCCGTAGGTGAATCCAAGCATCTCTCAGTTTTCATTATAGTGATCCCCAAATTACCTTCAAGGAATATGGAAATGTTCTTGCTCCTTTGTTACAGATGGGACAATGAGGCACATAGAGACTAAATGACCTGTCCCAGATCCCACAGAAGGCACGTAGCAGAGAAAAACTCAGGTCTTCTGAGTTGCAGGCCACTTCTGTCTGTCATAGGTTAAAAGAAGAGAGGTCTCATGACACCTGTACTTCCTGGCACCAAAGTCAATGGAAATTACTAGCATTCCAAAAAAGGAATAGGAAAACTGGGCCCTTCATCTCTTGCTCTGCAATGTCAATAAACAAGAACTAAGCTTTCAGCTAACACAAGCGCTCCCTTCCTTGTCTTCATTTTAGTCTTAATAGGCTCACAATTGTACTTTGGCCTTTGATGCCTTTTATCTCAGGTTCTCAAGATCTTTTCAGTGATTAAACCACCTTCATCCTCACATCCTTCACATGAAGCTTAATCCTTAAGCCTTTGCCTCTTACATTAAATCACCTTCTTAAGCATCTCATTTTTTCCCTATTGGATCCTGGACCTCTTCAACTAAATTAACCCCCCTGATCTTCTCCCTCCCAGTGCCAACCCCAAGTGCAATTACTTTGTTATGGACTATCATGTTTCAAGGAGCTGGAGCAGACCAAGGCTGCATATACACTGAGCTCTATATGAAAATTTCCCATTGTTGCTGTAGTGCCAGTGTGGCTGTATCAGTGCTAGCTGTAGAGGACCTTGCTCAGGTATTTTGGCAACTGTATCACTCAGCAAACTATAGTGATAGATGGCAAAACCCACCTTCATTGGCAGGGCTGGCCTACAACTTTTTGGGGCCCCCTGCAAGAAATAGTTTTGGGGCCCCCTGCCCTGAAGAAGCTGGTGGCAGCAGTGGGGGGGAGGGGTAGCAGCCGAAGCCAGCGGTGTTGGGGGCAGGGGGAGACAGTGGCCAGATGCAAAGCTGGTGGCAGCATCATCGGCAGTGTGGGGGGTAGCAAGCAGCTGGACACAGAGGGCCCCTTAGCTGTGGGGCCCCCTGCGCCTGCAGGTTTCGCAGTATAGGAGGGGCTAGCCCTGTTCATTGGTCCTTGCTAGGAGGTGCTCCTCCTATGCAAGTTGCAAAAGATTTTGGGAACATCTCAGCATAGACAAGTCCTTTACTCCAGGCTGATTATAGCTGGGGCATTCACCACTCAACAGCTCAAGACCAATAGTCTGAACTCTTCCAAAAATATGCCCTTTACATTACACATACAGTTAGCTCCCTCAATCCCTGCCACTGGCT